AGTACTCACTAGGATCTGGAAGAGTTGTTATATAACATGCGTTCTGGATGGCGTGAAGTATTAGCCAATGAAACCATCTGTTACGGCGACGTCTTGGCGTCCCATGCCTGGAACTGTGGGTAAACTACTAGAAACGTGAATGCTGATTGATTAATCAATCTCTGACATCATAGGGTCAAAAGCCACCCGTGCGATCCCTGGCGTGACCTTCCAGTACAACTGGTCAGATCTTCATGTAGTGTAGGCCATCGAAAGTATAAAAAAACGAAACAAAATATAGATCTGTATTATTTTAATCAGACTGAAATAGAAAAGACTTCCCCAATAAGAACTCTTACAGTAATTTTAATATTGTAAAACCTTACCTGGCCTGACAGGCATTAATTTTAATATTGTTATATTATATCTTACCTGGCCTGACAGGTATTAATCTGTCTACGTTTATACATTTTAATCAGATTGTACATTAGTAGGTCTATTTCTTTGGTGACTGATGGCTAGTTTGACCTTTTTTTCCTGACTAGACTAAAACAAACTAGCTGTGTTAAAAAAGTAGCTGTATTAAAAACATGGTTGCTTGGGTGTCTATGGGATGTTATGAATTAGCAAAAGCTCCAAATTCTATGTGATATTTATTTATATCTATGTCTGTGATAGAAATAAGTGATATTTATGGTTAATTACATAAAAATTCTATGTCATATTTATCTATACCTATCTGTGATAGAATTATATTTATGGTTAATTACATAAAATTTGTTGTTGTTTTATTAGTTATATATGTATATACATGCTCTTATATAAATTGTAAGCCATTCTCTCTTTACTGTCCAACCTCGTGGATTTTCTCCGGGGTCCTTGGGTTTCCTACCACCCCTAAAGACCCCTACATGCAAGCGAATTATTGAAATAAAATTGAACCATATGTTAGTTCCGAAATAACCTAATTTGTGTCAGTGGAGTTAAACCCTCTCTCTCTCTCTCTCTCTCTCTCTTAGTCATAATTATAAATCAATAAATATGTTTAATTTTGTCATATTTATAAATTTTAGTATTATGTATTTATTATCATTTCCATAATATATATTTTGTGATATCCATTATTTGTATTTACACCGTTTAGCTCAGCACTGATTTATAATTTTTAATTTTTAATGATTTCAAGTATGCTAAGACTTTGTTTATTGTACAGAAAAATGAAATTCAGCATTACTTTTGTATTATATATATATATATATAATAGTTGAAAAAGAAACATTGTTGTGGTTATTTTTATATGATGTAGTCACCTTGGTTGTTTTTGTTATTGCACGGCAGATTTTACCTCTTGCTTACTGTTTGATCTATTAAATTTTCAAAAGGCATTATGCGAGTGTTAAATTTGCCTATTGCAGGACTTTTTTGTGGCTTCAAATGTGATATGAATTCTTATTTAGACATGACAATCCAATAATCCTAGACTATCAGATCTCACAGTGACTAAGTGGGTAAGGCGCTGGCTCGCTAGACTGGAGGTCGGGTTTCTGATCCCTGCATTGGCCGAGAAAGTTCCTCCAGATTTTATGGCGTGGTTCCCCCTTGTCAGTGATGCAGGACAGAGGGCCTGACAAGGACAGCTGTCTAGTCCTTTGGATGGGACAAAAAAACAAGGTCCCTGTACACATTGACAGTTGGAATTCGATATAAAAGTAGGTCCTAGTGCCGCTGTCTGGCAAAATTTCCCTCATAGCGCACTGTATGGCGTATGTACGTCTTCATTAGCCCAGTTAGGAGCAGAACAGTAGGACGTTAAACCCCATTTCATTTGTCTTGGATATTGAGCGGGATATCTGCGTTAAAGGACAATATTCGTGCCAGTCATTATCACATATGTGATAGAGCTGGTTAAACACATTCCAAATATAATTTTATGTCAGAGATCATTGCTACGATAGCTGAGTAATACAGTTTTTCTGAATCGAAAGTGACAAACGCCAAAGGAAAACACGAGTCGCCTCTCTATATAACTGACTGATGTGATGAATGATAACGGATATACGGGCGTATATGTGATAATGACTGGCACCAATATTGTCCTTTAAATGCTTATAGGACTGGCGAAGCATGGCTTAACTCACAGAGACTACCGACAAAGGCCTGATATCTTGTATCTTAAAAGTCTTATTTGGAATAAAAGTAACGGTAATAGACATTCGATACAAATTTAACTGATCCGCTGCGTGAAACCGGTTAAAAGTAGCCTTTAATAACTGCGCTCAGAATAAAGTAATTTGACAGAAATTTTTAACATATTCATTTTTTATTATCTCTTTTTGAACTGTTAGTATTATAGCAAAAACGACCAGCTCTTTATCAAAATCTCGCATAAAATGAAATGAAATGAAGTGGGGTTTAACGTCCTACTGTTCTGCTCCTATACTGGGCTAATGAAGACGGGCATACACCATACAGTGTGCTATGAGGAAAATCTCGCATAATGCCTCTTATCTAAACGTTATATTTCGAAAATAATGATTTCTTTTTTTACTATAATTATAAACAATATTTTATTAGCAGAAAATTCCAGATGCCTTTCTATGTCAACTCTTCATTTAAAAAATAAGCCAAAATAATTTACTTTTTTTCTGATTATATGTTTTCTGAATAACTGATCTCTATTTGACAATAAATTCTTTTTGTTAATTTGTTTTATTTCATTTCTGTAAGAAATCTGAAGCCACAATTAAAAAAGATAATTATTGATGTGTTGGTAAGGTTTAATTAAACTGAAAACTTTTTATGCGTAAAAAATGAAAAGAAAGCAAAAAAAAAAAAAAAACTTTATTTTTGGGTTGTGGCTAAAATTGATTTTTTTTTTTTTTTTTAAATTTCACGCCCATTTCTTATAAGTGGTGGCCAGAAATACTTTAATTAATTGGTGGTTGCTTTGAAGATCATTGTCAAGAGTTGTCTCCCTTTAATGCACAATATTGAAGCTGACATACTAGATTCTCGAGATATTGAAGATTGAATACTTTTCCACGTAGCTCCTCAGTGGTAGCAACATATTTTTTTATTTGATTTTACAATTAAAAAAAAACAGTTGAAAATCATACCCAGTGGTTCTGTTGCCCCCAGGGAAAAATGTACAGAAAATTGACAATAGAGCAGACTCAGTTAGAAGGATTTAATTATATCAAGACACTTTAGGAATGCTCGATTGTGAGTCCAGAACGTCTAGAATTGACAGAATTGAAATCGAGTGACACAGAATTCAGTTCTGTCAGTTCTGACTATAGAGTTGGTGTGAGTAGAATTGTGATGTAATTAAACACACAAAAATATGTTTCGGTTGCCTGGTTAGTTGAGATATTTACTTATTCAGTCGAAGCATGCGTTGTAGCCAAAAAAAACCTTTTCACTCGATTGTCACTATTTTGGGGATTGAGAGAATTCAGTTTTTAAATGGTCGATCGAGTACCCCCAAAGATATACTCAGCTTCTTAGGTAGTGCAGATTAAGTTATTAAAAGGATACTAATAAGATATACACAGGATCTTAAATAATCATGGTCTTCAAAAGGTGACGCAGTAATTTAATCCTAATTACAGGACTTACGACAGTACATGCAAGTAGTACTTGGCACAAAGCAGTGGAATTATGAAGTAATTGATATAGTCATGTGTTGGATTTCCCCCACCACCAATTACACATAGGTTATGAGGACTATTCTAATATATGAGGAAGAATTGAGCAATTAAACTTGTCCGCTCTTGTGAATGTTTTAAATCAATTTATTCTGACACTGCACCCAGTTATTTAAAAGAACTCTTTGAATTTTTATACTCCCCGGCGATCCAACTTTCGTTCTTCAAGTGATCGAAGCATATTGAGGATTCCTAAACATAATAAATGTTCTGGTGAATATGTTTTCTCCGCCAGAGCAACTAAAATGTGGAATGATCTTCCAAAAACTCTTTGATAGTCCTCTTCCATCCAGGGCTTTAAGATAACTAACTTAAAACTTAGAAACACTCATGTGTAAAGAAGCGCTATATAAATCGAACAATAATAATATCTTATTTGTACAGACTATATTTAATACGCTTGAATCAAGTCTTCTTGAAGATATATCATCAGTCTTCTTGAATCGATTCTTGTAGAAGGTATATCATTCTTCTAGTTAATAACCATAGCTTAATCATTCAGTGTCTTGAATCGATTCTTGTTGAAGATATATCAGTGTCTTGAATCGATTCTTGTTGAAGATATATCAGTGTTCTTGAATCGATCCTTGTTGAAGATATATCAGTGTTCTTGAATCGATTATTCTTGAAGATGTATCAGTCTTTTTTAATCAATTCTACTTGAAGACATACTAGTCTTCTGGATAATAACCTTAGCTTAAAGGAGCTAAGTCGCTAATATTTGGGATCTAGAAATTGACACAAAGGCGGCGCAATGCATATAATAATGTAATATGAATGTATATAAACTGATTTACATTCAATCGTTTCTGTTTTTACTGTAATTTCTAATTAGTTAATTTCGGCGAAATACGGCAGAAATCTCAATCGAATAGCTATCTCCAGAGTCTGGTTATACCAGTCTACACCGAAATTATTTATTGCGCATGCTCTCCAAATAAGAATATAGCCTCGTTCTTCGAGCCCCTTGTTACAAATGACTCTGAAAAGCATTATGGTACACGATTAGTGTACCAATGGTAAAATGTTTATTTTGTCGTAAATATTGGATATCAGAAACCCATCTTTTCCCGGTAACATCACATCAATGTTAATTTAAATAGACAAATAATGTGTGCCTTCAATGTCGAAGAATTTGGATGATATTAAGTTAGAGACTTAGCTACTTTAATCATTTTAATGGGACAGCAGTTAGATGATTAGATGCAAACTGGCTGGTAAAATCATCATCATCATTAATCAATCATCATTATCATCATTCATCATCATTTTAAATGGTATTAATTTTAAATGTGTATTACTGTTTAATTTCAGGAGCTTTAAAAGATGCTAAAGTTGTCTTTGTTGTTGGTAAGTATTCATATAGAAGTGATCATTTATTATATCTGCAAGTAAGAAAAATGAATGAAGACCAAATAAATTCTTATTTAAATTGGTATTCAATGTTTTTAAAATTATGATATCAACAATCGTGGTGCCAGAGAGGGAAGCTCAGAGGACAAGCACCCATCTCCCCCTCCCTTATCTGATAGATTTGATAAATTAATGTATGTAATGTGTATCCAATGCCCACCGTGTCAAAGCTCCATGGGCCAATTTTGCCCTTTCTTTTAAATACATAGGTGCAGTTATGAGTTCCATACACAGCATATACTCCAAATCTAGTCTTTCTCTTTAGGGGGTGGGGGGTGTTGGGCCAAATTATTGAAATACAATTGAACCATATGTTAGTTCCGAAATGAACTAGTTTATGTCGAGTGAAAATTAAACCCCATTTCTCTCTCTCTCTCTCTCTCTCTCTCTCTCCAAATCATGTATTTCTCTTGATATTTTTGAAAATTATCTGGCACCATGCCACTAATGTATCAATGATCAATGGGCGAAGATTTGGTATTTATTTGATTCATTTTTCTAGGTGGACCAGGAAGTGGTAAGGGTACACAGTGTGCTAAAATAGTAGAAAAATATGGCTTCACTCATCTTTCTACTGGTGACTTATTACGAGAGGAAGTCGCCTCAGGTTCACAAAGAGGCAAGGAACTGACCGAAATAATGAAGAAAGGAGATCTAGTGCCTTTGGTAAGTTTGTTTAATTAACAAACTTATTCATGATCTCATTGGAATTTATTAAAACTTAAACATACATTATGCAAGAGGTAAATCTGCCTATTGCAGGTCTTTCTTTAGGCTTGAAATGTTATCTAAATTATTAATTTGACATTAATTAACAAAACTAGATCTTAATCAACTCTTGATGCCATTGTATACTCAAGATTTTAACTAGATTAGAATGGTTCGCCATTTAAAAATCTAATTTAAAAAAGGGAAAGCGAGTCTAAGTCTCGAATATACTAGTGCCCTTGTTAGCACAATGCACACATCTTGTCAAAACTACAAACAAGATTCTAGACATCTGTGTTCACTCAGATTCAACTGTACATCTATAATTAAAAACACTGCATGAAGAAGTCCCCATGGCAATCTAAAATATTCATTCAGATACAATTGTACATGTCTAATTAAGAACAATGCATGGCAATCTAAATTCAAGTGGTAACGTTGAAAAAATTTACCATTACACTTCATATTAGTCTCAAAATAACCACAATGTTGTGCTGAAAAGATGTTGAACATTCTTTTCCTTTTATTAAACATCCAGGATACTGTGTTAGCCATGTTGAAAGATGCTATGGTTGCTAAGGCAACTACAAGTAAAGGATTTTTGATAGATGGTTATCCTAGAGAATTAGAACAAGGCATTAGATTTGAAAGGGAGGTAAGAAATTAAAGTACATACCACATACCATATATATATTTTTTTTTAAGTGAATTTTTCAAAGTCTGATATAAGGGCAATCTGATTAAAGCACAGATCCTATTTCGTTTTTTATAGTTCAAAATTTGGTTTTACGCTAGGGTCTGGAAGAGTTGTTATTGTGGTATTGGGGTGTATAGGCCACAAGATGGCCTGGATTGTTTATGACAATCAGAAGAGCTAATTAAAAACAGCCATCTTCCATTTCACTCCATCCCAGAATTCCATCTAGGATCAAAGCCTTTTATTAATCAAGGGAAGTAACTCTATTAACACAAAGAACTCAAGAAGGCTTCTGACCACTATTCCTTAATAATATGAATAAGTTGGTTTAGTAAAGGGAGTATATGACATTATATAACAGGTGTTCTGCTTGATGTGAGGAATTAGCCAATGAAATGCTCTTCTATGGCTAGGGCTGTGCACAGAACTGTGGGAAAAAAATTAGAAACGTCAATGCTGATTGATTAATCAATGTCTGACGTCATAGGGCCAAAAGCCGCACGTATGAACCCTCACACGACCTTCTACTACAACTAGTCATATCTTCATGTAGTCGAGGCCATCGAAAGTATAAAAAAACAAAACGAAATATAGATCTGTATTTTAATCAGACTGAAATAAGGGATAAACCTTGTACATGTATATTGTCTGTCCAGAGTGAGAAATGAATTGTAGTATCTTGTATTGGAACCAGTGTCTTCGGAAACATTGATCTGAGATAAAAACCCTTGGTGGGAGTAGACGTTAAATCTCTTATACGAAGTTGTATAAAAACGTGATGAAACAAAACCAAAATGAATCTTTCTGAAACCATTTTCTATGCTTATGCGAGATTCACATTATGCAAGAGCTGGATCTGCCTATTGCACGTCTTTCTGTAGGCCTGAAAAGTTATATAAACTATTAATTAGACATTAATTAACTTATCCAGACCATAATCAACTCTCGATGCCATCTCTAGCCAGCGATATTTACTGGATTTAAATACGTTTTGTGATGGATGATTTAACAACAAAAAGGATAATCGAGTAATGATGATCAAAGCTAGCCCTAAGACTGAATCACTCATATCTCAGTTCAGAGTGGAGCAATTTGACTGCAATTTTCAGCATATTTTTAAACAAGTCAGTCTGATTATATATATAATTAAATTAAGAATGCTTTATTTTCAGGTTGTACCAGCTCAATTTGTTTTATGTTTTGACGTTTCGGATAAAACAATGACAGACAGACTTTTAGACAGAGCTAAGACGAGTGGCAGAGCAGACGACAATGAAGAAACTATCAAAAAGAGGCTCAAAACCTTCCATGACATCACACAACCAGTTATTGATTATTTCCAAAAACAGAATAAAGTTAGAATGGTGAGCTAAATCGCTAATAATTGGGACTTAGAAATTCACACAAATGGGTTGCAACGCATATAATAATGGAATATGAATGTATATAAACTGATTTACATTAAGTCATTTCTGTTTTTACTCTAACTTCAAACCAGTTATGTTCGGCGAAATTCCAGTCTACACCAATAGTATTAATTGTGCATGCTCTCCAGATAAGAATATGGCGTCACCGTTGGACATGACTTGTGGAATATGTCTAGTCTCGTTCCTCGGGTCCCTTGTTACAAATGGCGCTGAAATGCATTATGGTACACTCATGTACCAATGGTAAAATGTTTATTTTGTCTTAAGCACTATATTCTCAAAAGGGTGAAAATTTATACATTTTGAAACAAATTGCCGGGGATGTGATTTGTTGTCTGGCAACCTTACCTTTTAATATAAAATATTTTGATTTTATAGATACCTGCTGAAACTACAGTGCCGGGGATGTGATTTGTTGCCTGGCAACCTATCGTTTAATGTAAAATATTTTAATATTATAGATACCTGCTGAAACTACAATGTGATTTGTTGCCTGGCAACCTATCTTTTAATGTAAAATATTTTAATATTATAGATACCTGCTGAAACTACAGTGGATGAAATATTTGGAGAAGTACAAAAAGTTTTTGATGCTCTTGCACAACCAGGTAATGATATTTTGTAAAGTTTTATTCGTTAATCTTGAGGGGGGGTGGATGGCTGAATGGTTAGCGTGCGCACGCTGTATCATAAAGTCTGTCATTGAGTCGACTGGCGTGGTTTCGAATCCCCGGTCGTACGTGACAAGGAGTAGGGTCGCCTGTCCAACCTCGTGGGTTTTCTCCGGGTCCTCCGGTTTCCTCCCACTGCTAAAGACCCCTACGCGCAAGCGAATTATTGAAATATAATTAAACCATATGTTAGTCCCGAAATGACCTAGTTTGTGTCGAGTGGACGTTAAACCCCATTTCTCTCTCTCTCTCTCTCTCTCGTTAATCTTGTAATGCCATTAAAAATTAATTTTAAGACATATTTCCTTGAGATATGAGAGCCTAAATACATAAAATCGATCGAAAAATGTATTTGTATTAATGTATATCATATCTTACAAGCTATGAATAGGATACCTTATTCAATTTTATATATCATTCTGATTGAATTTTCTCAAATTTTATCGAGCAGATTGTATTCAAAATATTCATCCATAACTTCAGTTTTAAAGTCTCTTCACTGGTTGCCTGTCGAACCCCAGATTCAATATAAAGTTCTGTCATTAGTGTATAAATGTCAAAATAATCTCGCTTCCTGATATTTGTTTGATCTTTTGACAAACTATAAACCAAGTCTGGAAATAAGGCACCTTTCACAGACAATGTCAGGCACAGATTCAGGCTTTGTCAGGCACAAAACCTATGGTGGCTGTCATTTTGTCCGGCACTGCTATGTCGTGTTTGCTGATATTATTAATACATATCCGGCACTAAGTTGAAAATGTCAGGTACTATTTCATTCTGACATTTTGTCAGGTACATCTAAAACCGTTATTTCCAGGCCTGCTATAAACCTAAACCTACTCTAAAGTTGCATAACAAAAATATACTTGCTGTTCCTAAAACAAAACTAAAACAATTTGGTGATAAAAGTTTCAGTGCGCGCAGCAGCTCGACTTTGGAATCGGTTACCAATAAATATTAGAGAATCTCAAACTTTCACAATCTTTAAGTCACGTCTGAAAACTCATTTGTTTAAACTCTATTATCCAGATTAGAAACAGATTGTTTATGTGTGTTTTTCTTGACGAGAGACTCCTTAAATGTCACGCTTTGAGCATACGTATATGGATGGATTTATATTAAGCGCATTACAAATTATTATTTATTTATTTATTTATTTATTTATTTATTTATTTATTTATTTTGAAAGCCTGGGGAAATGCTTGTTAAAATGTTGTATAGCAGATATATATATAGCTCATAAACAGATTTATATAGCCGTATAAGGATTAGTGACTCGTGACGATTGCTTGCATTGCAGTCCTTCACATTTAAGGTGCACTTTTGCTCCTGCTCCTCTCGATGCACCTCAACTTTCTTTCACGGGAGTCATTAAAGATTCCTGCAAATTAGCTAAATCACTCTCTTAAATAGTGAGATTAATAAACTACTTTCAATTTTTGTTTATTTTTAAACTGCATACGTTCGAGCTATCAGTTTCCATGATGATAATTCTAATGCTACCATAATCACCAAACATATTCACCAAATATTAAACAATATTAAAGCATAGATACAATTCGGCTCTCCTTAATTCAAGAAAGTGTAGAATTATTCTTGCAATATAATTAAGAAGAGATTTTTATGGGAGCTTTTTTTCTCATTTTTGAAATTGGCAGGAGGTTTTTAGGTCTTCTGTATGATTTTATAACTTGAAGGACTGCATTGATGAGTCTGTATGTAATAATCCCCACCATTTAAGATAAACAGAACACCCAGTGTCATTTTATAAAATTGGTACAACTTTTATGGAATATACCTAATTACCCCACAAAGTAACGCGTTCAACACATATAATTTTACCCCTTTTTTTTTTCAGGAAACAGTACCGAATGCTTGAAGAATACAAACATCTTCTTTGTTGTTGGTAGGTTTGACTAATATTATCATTATCTGTATGTAGCACATCTTCGATTTATCTACCAGGAGGTTCCAAGTTCAATACCAGTGTTGTCTGAGAAGTTTTCCAGCCTGGTTTCCATTTCTCCAGGGGGTGGGGGGGGATTATCGAATGGTTTGCGCGTGCGTGTTTTATCATAAGGCCTGTCATTGAGTTAACTGGCGTGGTTTCGATTCCCGGTTGTACGTGACAAGGATCCTCCGAATCCTCCGGATTCCTCCCACTGCTAGAGACCCCTATGCACAAATGAATTATTGAATATTGAAATAAAATTGAACCATATGTTAGTCCCAAAATGACCTAATTTGTTTACTTATATTTTTCTAGGTGGGCCAGGAAGTGGTAAGGGTACACAGTGCGCTAAAATCGTAGAAAAATATGGCTTCACTCATCTTTCTACTGGTGACTTATTACGAGAGGAGGTCGCCTCAGGTTCACAAAGAGGCCAAGAATTAACATCTATCATGGAAAGAGGAGCGTTAGTGCCCTTGGTAAGATTCATTCTGATTAAAATACAGATCTGTAATTGCTTCGTTTTTTATACTTTCGACGTGGTTTACCCACAGTTCCGTGCATGGCACCCCAAGCAGTCGCTGTAACACACCGGTAAAATAACAACTCTTCCAGATCCTAGTGTAGTAAAGGCAAGTAAAATGAAATTTTGAACTATAAAAAACGAAACGAAATAGGATCTGTGTTTTAATCAAATTGGGTAAGATTCATAAATTATAAAATTACTCTGGGTATAATGAAACAAATTAAATGAAATAAAATGGGGTTTAATGTCCTACTGTTCTGCTCTGACTGGGCTAATGAAGACGGGTATACGCCCGGTTGGCAACACTATGGCCTACTCTTATATCGAATTCCAACTGCCAAGGGATCTTTTATGTGCATGCCAATGTATCCACGAGACCTCGTTTTTTTTTTTCTCCCATGTGAACGACTAGAAAGCTGTCCTTGTCAGACCCTCCATTCTGCACCACTGACAAGTGGAAACCACGTCGTCAGAATATTTGAAATAATGGTACACCACCATATTTTAAAACCAAATAATGTTTGAAAGTTGTAAAGAATATGATTTTTCCTTTCAGGATACTGTGTTAGCCATGTTGAAAGATGCTATGGTTGCTAAGGCAGCTACAAGTAAAGGATTTTTGATTGATGGTTATCCTAGAGAATTAGAACAAGGCATTAGATTTGAAAAAGAGGTGAGAAATTAAAGTACATACCATATTTTTTTTTTCCATGTGTTTTTCAAAGTCTGATATTAGGGAAAAATCTTGTATATTGTCTATCCAGAATGAAAAATGAATTGTAGTATCTTGTACTCTTGTATTGAAGCCAGTGTCTTCGAAAACATTGATCTGAGATAAAGACCTGTGGTGGGAGTAGATGTTCGAAAACATTAATATAAACCCTTGGTCAGTAGGAGTAAATGTTAAACCTCTTGTATTGGAGTCAGTGTCTTCGAAAACATTAATATAACATATAAACCCTTATTTTGAATTATATATTTCAAAGTTCGACTGAGCCAGGGTGGCTAAGAGGCTGGCTCGCTAGTCTGAAGGTCACAGGGTGGCTTCCTTGTTGGCCAAGAAATTTCATTGGGATTTTCTGGCGTGATTTCCTTTTGTTAGTGGTGCAGGACAGAGGACCTGACAAGGACAGCTGTCTAGTTTTTTGGATGGGATAGATATGGGAGGTCCTGTGCATGTAAAAGATCCCTTGGTTGTAGTGTCACTATCCGGCAAAATTTCCCTCATAGCACACTGTATGGCGTATGCCTGTCTTCATTATCCCAGTTCGAAGCAGAACAGTAGGACATTAAACCCCATTTCATTTCAGAGTTTGACACTTGTAGTGTGTCAGTGCCTTTAATTGTATGAAGTTTAATAAAAATGGATGAAGCATGAAGCAAACCAAAAATGACATCTCTCAAACCACCTACTGTATATGATAATAGAGGGTCACCTGTCGAACCTCATGGGTTTTCTCCGGGTCCTCTTGTTTCTTCGCACTGCTAAAGACCCGTACACACAAATGAATTATTGAAATGGACTAAAACCATATGTTAGTCCCGAAATGTCCCAGTTTGTGTCGAGTGGACCTTATAACCCCATCAAGACAAATTAGCATCAAGTTAGTTGGCATGCCCAAATAATCCAAATAAAACAATGTTGCATCCCCCACCCCACCCCCATATTTGATTAAAATACAGATCTGTATTTCCTTTCGTTTTTTTATACTTTCCATGGCCTCTACTACATGAAGATCTGACCAGTTGTACTGGAAGGTTAACGTCAAGGGTCGTACAAGTGATTTTTCACCCTATGATGTCAGACATTGATTAATCAATCAGCGTTGACTTTTTTAGTGGTTTACCCACAGTTCTGTGCATCACATGCCAAGAACTCGCCGTAACAGACCGTTTCATTGGCTAATTCTTCACTAAAACCAGAATGCGGGTTATATAAAAACTCTTCCAGATCCTAGTGTAGTAAAGACAAGTAAAACGAAATTTTGAACTATAAAAAACGAAAGGAAATAGGATCTTTGTTTTAAACAGATTGATCCCCACCACCCCAAAATTGGATGTTTTAAATTTTCTGGGATTTTAACATAGGGGTACAATTTTTATCGTAGGTAAGCCCAGCAAAGGTAATGCTTAATTTCCATGTATCAGATGAAACCATGACAGAGAGGTTATTATATAGAGCGAAGACCAGTGGGAGAGCAGACGACAACGAAGAAACTATCAAAAAGAGGCTCAAGACCTTCCATGACAGCACACAACCAGTTATTGATCATTTTGAAAAGGCTGGTAAAGTTAAAACGGTGAGATTTGTAACGTCTACTTTTTGTAGGTTGTGAAATTGAGTACACAATATTTAATACTAGCCGTATAACCTTTGTTGAACGGGTAGAGCCGCGTGACTCTCCCTTTAAGAGTCTATCTTATTTAAAAAAAAACGCGTTTTGATTTTTAACCTTTGATATGAAGTTATGATAGCACTTTATAGGTTGCAGTTAAGCTATTTTGTTGAAATTTATATTGGTTGTGTTTTCCATTGAAAGAAAGAATCGTGTTGATTTTCACCAATGTTCCGATGAGAACTTTCAGAGCTATTCCCTTTGTTTCTGAATCTTATCGACACATTATAGACAGTAGCAGATCTAGAAGCTGTGAAATGGGGGGGGGGGGGGGCGGTTCCATCCACATTCCCACCCCACAATGATTGAATGAATGTCAACAAAATACTGGCTATAACACTGTCTGAGCGACCGGTAGAACATATATCGTATTGGCTATATAGTTGTTCGCCCATCGTTATATCGCCGGAAAGCAATTTTATCCGCCATTCCAGGTCTAGGAGGCCATCCACAGTTCCACGCCACAATGAATGTCAACAAAATACTGGCTATAACACTGTCTTGAGCGCCCCGGTAGAACATATATCATATTGACTATATAGTTGTTCGCTGTTTGTTATCTCGTCTAAAAGCAATTTTATTCAAATTGACATAACGTTATAGAGGATTCAGTTATAATCTAAACTTTCTGAAATTTGTATGGGTTGTTAACGCTCACAATCGCTTGAATGACAAAGCCGCTTGTGGGTGTTTGTTTCATTACTTAGCAGACTATGTTTATTTTGTTTATATTTGTATATTAATCAGATTAAAGCAGAAGGAAGCGTAGATGAGATATTCAAACAAGTACAAAACGTCTTCAAGGACCTTAATATAGAGGGTAAGTTATAAAATAACAGGGTCTCTTGTAATAGCGGGGTGGGGTTGGATGGCCCAATGGTTATCGTGTGCGCGCTGTATCGTAGGGTCTTTCATTGAATCAACTGGCATGGTTTCGATTCACAGGTTGTACGTGACAAGGAGTAGGATCGTCTGTCCAACCTCGTGGGTTTTCTCTGAGTCCGCCGCTTTCCTCCCACAGCTAAAGACCCCTATGCACAAGAGAATTATTGGAAAGAATTTGAACCATATGTTAGTCCTGAAATGACCTAGTTCGTGTTGAGTGGACGTTAGACTCCATTTTTCTCCCTCTCTCTTTGAAGTTTGATGACTCTTTAGGATCATTAATACTTTATTTTATTAGAAAGAACAACAAAATTAATTATTATTATTTAATACATGTTTAAAGGTGAACTCTCAGTTTCCACTCAAAGCCTCCAAAAACCATTTTTATTCGATGAAATGTATCTGGGATTTTACCTTTGATGAAAATTGAGAATTTGATCTCTCGAAAATGTTAACAGTCAAATATTACTGTTAATTAATTAATTAATGTTTTTCTTTTCTCTTTTTTTTTTACCCACAGAATCTAAACTTTCCGATGCCAAGGTTGTCTTTGTTGTTGGTAAGAAACATAACATCTAGAAACTTAAAATATCAGTAGATATAAATAAATAGATACACTGTAGATAGAAAAAAAAAATTAAATCAATCCAATTAAAATACAGATCTATATTTTGTTTCGGTTTTTTTTATACTTTCGATGGCCTCTACTACATGAAGATCTGACCGATGGTAGTGAAAGATCGCGTCAGGGGGTCATACGACCGGCTTTTACTCTATGACATCAGACTTTGATTAATCAATCGATCAGCGTTGACGTTTCAAGGGGTTTACCCACAGTTCCGTGCAGAGCACGCCAAGAACTTGCCGTAACAGACTGTTTCTTTGGCTAATTCCTCACATCAACTAGAACGCCTGTTATATAACAACTCTTCCAGATCCTAGTGTTGTGAAGACAAGTAAAACGAAATTTTGAACTATTAAAAAAGAAACAAAATAGGATCTGTGGTTTAATCAGATTGCAATTCGGTTTATTTGACCAAAACTTGATTTGTTCTTTTAAAACATTTATTGGAGAAATGTTACGTAATAAAATATTTCTACATGATTCAGGTGGACCTGGAAGCGGAAAAGGAACACAATGTAGTAAAATTGTGGAAAAATATGGTTTCTGCCATTTGTCGTCTGGTGATTTACTTCGAGCAGAAGTCAATTCGGGCACAGCCAGGGGGAAACAACTCAATGAAATAATGGAAAAAGGAGATCTGGTATCTCTGGTGAGTCTGCTAAAAATATTTATGGAAAAAATTCCCTTGCCTTGCCTGATAATAGCACTGGCTCATTAACCAGGGAGTCACCGATTCAATTCCGGTATTGACCAAGAAAGTTCCTCTTGGTTTGCCTTCTTATAATAGCTACTGCAAATATACTAGAAGCCATAACGGCGTAGTGAGTATTAGCGCAGGTTCACTAAACTGGAAGTCACAGATTTAATTCTGGTATTGACCAAGAAGTTCAACAGAATTTTCCAGCTTAGGTTCCCCATGTCAGTGATGTGGAACGAAGGATCTGGCAAGGATTGGCTGGGACAAATAACAAAGTCCTGGTTACATGTTGGTATGCATGTAAAAGAACCCTTGACAGTTGGAATTCGATGAAGAGTTGGTGTAAACACTGCTGTCCGAGCAAAATTTTCCTCATAGAACACTGTATAACACACAGTATGGTATATGTCCATCTTTATTAGCACACTGTATTGCATGTCCATCTTCATTAGCACACTACATAGCACATTGTACAGCATATGTCCATCTTCATTAACACAATGCATAGTCTGGGCAAAATTTTCCTCATAGCACATTGCATAGCATATGTCCACCTTCATTAGCACTCTACATGGCATATGTCCATCGTCATTAGCCTTATTTGGTGCAAAAAAGTTGGACGTCAAATCCCATTTTAATTTGAAAATAGACTATTAATTTCTGGTAAGCATATTTTTAGTAATTAATGAAGTGATAACCAATGTCTGTATGTAATATTTTACAGGATGTAGTATTACAGTTGTTAAGGGAAGCCATGCTTGGTAAACTGTCAACATCAAAATGTTTTCTTATTGATGGATATCCTAGAGAATTAGAACAAGGAAAAAGATTTGAAAATGAGGTTTGTTATAATCCAAATGGACGTATTAAAGTGGTGTTATCATTTTTAACAAGAAATTATAATTAATTTTAAATATACAGTGCTGGCTTTTTGCTGAAGAAGATATCCAAAGTGGTTATTCATATTTGAAATTTTGCTGGTATTCATAAACAGATCATTTATCTATCATTGTGTGCTTCAATACAAAGAATGTTACTTGGAGTGTGTGCGAGGGGGTTGGATGGTTGAATGGTTAGCATGTGTGCGCTGCATCATAATGTCTGTCATTAAGTCAACTGGCATGGTTTTAATTCCCTGGTTGTACATGACAAGGAGTAGGGTTGACTGTACCAACCTCGTGTGTTTTCTCTGATTCCTCCGATTTCCTCCCACTGCTAAAGACCCCTACGTTCAAGCAAATTATTAAAATAAGATTGAACCACACTTTAAACCATATTTCTCCTTCTCTCACTGTATTGAATACTGAAGCGTTTCTTGATTGAATTTAGACTACTTTTTTATACATTTCACCGATGTGGTTACTTGTATAGTTGAATTTTACTACATATGCTTACATTGTATTTCGTGTAGTATATAGCAGATCATGACTCATGCTGGCATTACACAATGGGTTCTTTGGGTTGTATTCCTTATTGGTTTCGAATTTGAGGGAAGTCTGTGTCACTACAGACCCGGGACTGTACAGCACAGTGGACGTTTACGGCTAGACCCCTGGATCCATTCACTTTTTTGAATTGTCTGTATGTTTGTGTTTACCTGAGGATGATGTCCTGCCCGTGTATTTGTTTTTGTGTAAATTTTGTGTGGTGCAGTCCCCCTGCACTTACTATTAGGTGTGTGAACTGTATAACACGATAATTACCTGATCAATCCAGCCTATTATCAATGATAATCGATATGACTTGTAGTTATACACTCCGTACAGTCAATATATTTTGGAATTTTGAATATTATTCACCATATCTTGATGTCCAGTTGAGCATATTCAGAGGTTTGGAAAATAGCGTAGGAGAGAGAGAGAAATGGGGTTTAACGTCCACTCGACACACACTAAGTCATTTCGGGACTAACATATGGTTTAATTTTACTTACATAATTCGCTTGCGCGTAGGGGTCTTTAGCAGTGGGAGGAAACCAGAGGACCCGGAGAAAACCCACGAGGTTGGACAGGCGACCCTACTCCTTGTCACGTACAACCGGGGATTCGAAACCACGCCAGTCGACTCAATGACAGACTTTATGATACAGTGCGCGCACGCTAACCATTCAGCCATCCACCCCCCCCAAATAGCGTAGGACTTGTCTGGAATAAACGGGTGACGTAGCATCCATGGTATACGGGGGGTAAAACAGGAGAAGATATCAGAAGTGGCTATTCTCCTTTAAAATTCTGCTGGTATTCATTAAAGCAGAAATTGCAAATTTTTAAGTTATATTTTTAAAATTTATTAAAATAAAGCCTGAAAATAGATGGTATCCATAAACGGTCCTACCTTGTTAAAGAATAATCCTATTAATCCTATAATTCACTATTGCCAGCTGAGAAATTGGCAAAAATATCATTTTCCTCTTCTTTTTTAAACGTTTGAATATTGCTACTCCATGGTGGAGAATAGAAAACAAGGGAGGTAATTGTGTTATTATTTCCTGTCTAAATGAATCTTAAGTGTGAGAATGACACCTATGATCGTATAATTGTGAGTTGACAACCTATTGAGCAAAAGACAAAGAAATAATTACGTTTTGACTTTCTTAGAAAATTTGCAATTTCCGCTTTAACAGATCATTTTTACCCCATTGTGTGTTTCTTCATCAATACAAAATGCTGGTATTCTCTTTTATGGTTTAGGGGGTTTGGATGTGAATGGTTAGCACGTGTGTGGTGTATCATAAAGTCTGTCATTGAGTCAACTGGCGTGGTTTCAATTCCCCACGTGACAAGGAGTAGGTTCGCCTGTCCAACCTCATGTGTTTTTTCTGAGTCCTATGGTTTCCTCCCACCACTAAAGACCCCTATGCGCAAGCGAATTATTGAAATAAAATTATACCATATGTTAGTCCTGAGATGACCTAGTTTGTGTCGAGTGGACATTAAACCCCATTTCTCTCTTTCTTTCAATTAACAATATAATAAACTAGGATATTAATAAACAATGTTTATATCGGATCAAAGCTGAAATGTTAATATTCATATCAGATCAATGCTGCTTGACATTATTTGTAGCAGCTGTTCTTTTTGAAATTACTTGACTTCATATAAATTATAGGGAGGTTGGATGGCCGAATGGTTAGCGTGAGGTCTGTCATTGAGTCAATTGGCGTGGTTTCAATTCCCTAGTTGTGTGTCACAAGGGGTAGGGTCGCCTGTCCAACCTCGTGGGTTTTCTCCAAGTTCTCCAGTTTTCTCCCACTGCTAAAGACCCCTACACGCAAGTGAATTGTTGAAATAAAATTGAACCATATGTTAGTCCCGAAATGACCTAGTTTGTGTCAAGTGGACGTTTAACACAATTTTTCTCTCTCTCATAAATTATGACCTGCCAATAACTGTTTATTACAAAAAAATCTTTATAGAATGACCAACAGCTGTTTAAAAACGTTCTCATGGCATCTACTAAAGTTGGATTTTATTGAGCCATGTTCTATCCCAACTAGAAGAGCAATCTGATTAGAATACAGATCTATATTTCATTTCGTTTTTTTTTTTTATACTTTCGATGGCCTCTACTACATGAATTTCTGACCGGTTGTACTGGAAGGTCGCATCATGGGGTCGTACAAGCGGCTATTGACCCTTTGACGTCAGACATTGATTAATCAATCAGCGTTGATGTTTCTAGTGGTTTACCCACACTTCCGTGCATTGCACGCCAAGAAGTCACTGTAACAGACCGTTTCATTGGCTAGTTCCTCACTTCAACCAGATCGCCGGTAATATAACAACTCTTCCAGATCCTATAGCGTAGTAAAGACAAGTAAAATGAAATTTTGAACTATAAAATATGAAACAAAATAGGATTGGTAGAAGAGATAAAAATTAGATCCTCTGGTCATTATTTAACAAGATTAATCTGGTAAAATTTATTTCGTATAAAATTCATCCAGCATATATAATCATTATTACGTCACAAAAAAAACATCTATAAAAGGACTAAACATTTGTATTCTATTCTTTATTGTATCTGATGAAGGTCGATTAAAGAGCAAAATGTTATCAGTAAATCTCACCTAAATCGACAAAATAGCATCTGTTCTTCATGGGTTAGGGAATCCTTTGTTTATTCGTCATTATTTTAGTCCGGTTTATAGCCTCTGTACACTCCATCAAATAATGGGCAGTGAAATACAATGGCCACCAGTGGAAAGAGGGGGTTGGATGGCTGAATGGTTAGCACATGTGCGCTGTATCACAGGGTCTGTCATTGAGTCAAGTGGTGTGGTTTCGATTCCCCGGTTTTATGTGACAAGGAATAGAGTCATCTGTCCAACCTCGTGTGTTTTCTCTGAGTCCTCTGATTTCCTCCCACTGCTAAAGCGAATTATGGAAATAAAAATGAACCATATGTTAGTCCCGAATTGACCTAGTTTGTTTTGAGTGGAGGTTAAACCCTCTCTCTCTCTCTCTCTCTCTCTCTCTCTCTCTCTCTCCAGTGGAAAGTTGTCTTTTACCTAATAATTTTGTAAAAGAGAAAAATTAACAAATGAACTTGTACATCATGTAGACCTCTAATCGTTATTTTACAGATAGTGGAATGTACGAGCGTTTTATATTTTGATGTATCAGATGATACGATGACGAAACGATTATTAGAACGGGGTAAAAGTAGTGGTAGGGTGGATGATAATGAAGAAACAATTAAAAAACGTTTACAGACTTTTCACAACCAGACGCAGCCCGTTATAGATCACTATGCAAAACAAAATAAAGTAACTGCGGTAAGTTGTGTTCACAAGAACCTTAATGGTGATTGTTTGCCTTTTGTCAACCAGTAATCTTGGGGATCAGGACATCCATTATTAAGCATACATTACAGAAGAGCTAAATCTGCCTATTGCAGGTCTTTCTTGATGCCCGAAATGTTACTAGTATCTAAATTATTAATTAGACATTAATTAACTCATCCAGGGTATAATCAACTCTGGATGGCATTGGATTTCTCTGATATTAAATAGATTAGAACAGTTCAGCCTTTTATTCCAAACTTATTGCCCGTGCAGCCAAAGCCCTGTAATCCTTCTGCAGGACAGATACAGATTTTTTAATAGATTTTTCGTTGAAGTTTGTTGAGCTTTTACAACTAGTGTACAAAACTATAACACATACTTATGGAAAAACTTCTTTATTTGAGTTTTCCGGCGTGGTTTCCCCTTGTCAGTGATGCAGGATGGAAGGCCTGACAAGGACAGCTATCTAGTCGTTCGGATGGGACGAAAAACCGAGGTCCCGTGTATATATTGGAATGCACGTAAAAGATCCCCTGGCAGTTGGAATTCGATATAAGAGTAGGCGATAGTGCCGCTGCCCGGGCAAAATTTCCCTCATAGCACACTGTATGGCGTATGCCTGTCTTCATTAGCCAGTATAGGAGCAGAACAGTAGGACGTTAAACCCCATTTCATTTCATTTCATTTCTTTATTTGGGCCACGTTTCGAAGAGTATTCTATCAACGTTATCAAGCTATACTATTTTTCCATAAGTATGTGTTACAGTTTATTGCTCTATCCAGTTACTAAATGCCTCTCAAAGACAACTAGTGTATTGTTATCATATTTATTGTCGTGTTAACTGAATTTGAGGGGGGGGGTTACATACATATTTTATACTTTCATTTTATTTATTTAGATTTTTTTGTCATATTAACTGAATTTGGTGGTTTTTTTACATACATGATATACTTTCATTTTATTTATTTAGATTTTTTTTGTTGTATTAACTGAATTTGTTGTTTTTTTTACATACATGATATATTATACTTTCATTTTATTTTTTTTAGATAAAAGCAGAAGGTGGCGTAAATGATATCTTCGCAGAAGTTAAGAAATTTATGGACAGCAAATCCTGGTAACCATGTGGACAGTGTAATGTTAGACTTAAATAAATAGTTATGACATCCCTATACCTTTGGAAAACACTGCAGTATTATTTCAAATATGCAACAAGTTCTGTGGTATGCATGAGCTCAAACAGAAAGTGTTACATGTTTGCAATCTATCTGATTAAAATACAGATCTTTATTTTGTTTCGTGTTTTTTTATACTTTCAATGGCCTCTGCTACATGAAGATCTGACCAGTTGTTGTCAGACATTTGATTAACCAATCAGCGTTGATGTTTCTAGTGGGTTACCCACAATTCCGTGCAAGTCACGTCAAAAACTCGCCATAATAGACCGTTTCATTGGCTAAACCCTCACATCATCCAGAATGCGGGTTATATAACAACACTTCCTGATACTCTAGTGTAGTAAAGACATGTAAAATGAAATGAAATAGGATTTGTGTTTTAATCAGATTGGTTTACAATATTAGTAGTTTATTAACTTTTCAAACCACATTTTGTCAAAACTGTACTACTACTAGTTTATGAATATAACTTGGAGAAATGCTAAAAATTATAAAAAGTATGGGTAGAGTTCGTTCGTTCGTTCGTTCCTGGAGTTTTACGGCCACTTCCACCAAGGGTGAGATCATAGACAAATTTGTGGAATATCTCTCTTCCTTTATATACAGTTCTATCAAAATTTTTCCTGCCACTGCTAAAGACCCCTACGCGCAAGTGAATTATTGAAATAAAATTGAACCATGTGTTAGTCCTGAAATGACCTAGTTTGTGTCGACTGGACATTAAACCCTGTTTCTTTATCTCTCTCTATCTGTATTAATACACACTGTTAAAAACATTGGTGCAATTAAGGGTGTTAATAATTCCTCTTTGTTAATAATCATTTTAGGCTTTTCCTTTTCCCTTGTTACTATTTATATTGATATTTGATTGTCAGACACTTGACTGTATATTGCCAGATCATTACGTTACAGGGGCTTGAGCCCTATTTATAATTAGGAAAAACCCATTTCACTTGTTACTATATGTTGATATTTGTTTGTCAGACACTTGACTGTATATTTCCAGACCATTAAAAGGAAAGGAAAAACCCATCATAATTGAGCTTTGAAATTATGTACCTTTAAGAAGTACAATTTGTCTATTGTCTAGAGATTCATGTACCAAGTTGGTTGATATTCATAGTCCCATCATCTCCTATGCATTCATAGTGGATTTCTTTTTCTAAAACTATATTTTGAAGGGTTGTCAACACACTTAGTTAATTTCTCAAACATTTTTTTTTAAAGTATTTTCTGTTATCTTCATGCATAAATTCAATAAAAATTATTTTTAAAAAGCTAACCAATTTCTACCCTAGTGGGTTTTCTCTGGGTCCTCTGGTTTCCTCCCACTGCTGAAGAACCCTACGTCCTTATGAGTTATTGAAATAAAATTGAATTATATGTTAGTCCCGAGTGGACGTTAAACTCTCTCTCTCTCTCTCTCTCTCTCTCTCTCTCTCCTGAAAAGTTATTTATAAAATTATTTATTTTCACATCTGTCAATATTATATTCTATGCTATTTTGCAACTTTTCACACATAATTTAATGGTACCTACATATTAAATTGTTTTAAAATACAGATGTGACATCATCCTTTGATGCGACAGGGTACCAATATTTCAAATAATTGTACGGGCAATGTGCCAAGTGTACATTATTTATACTAGTTGAAATATTGGACCCACGTGACGTATTTCATTGAAATACTGGATAGTGTCTGTATTTTAATTTGTTTAATCGTCTTGTGCAAGACATTGCGTAATATATAGATATAGCACTCGTACACCATCAATATATTACTTAATGGCTAGCACTCAACCATTAAACTACACATATGGTCTGGAAAAATGTCATATGGACTTTTGTTGTTATAATTACCTATGATTGTGTATATGTTCTAATAGATGTACACTTTTATCCATGTTATAAGTTATTGTATTTATCATGTTTTATTTATGATTTTGTGTGTTTAGTATATAGCAGGATTTAATTCCAAGTATTTTGTTAAAGTTAAAGGTCACCGGAAAAACTTCATAAATTTTTTAAATAATGCAATGAATTTTGTCAACATATCCTTTGCATAAGTATAACGCGATCTTGAATGTCAATATTACCTGCAACAGGTAAATTTCAACAGTTAGATTTCCGCCGTTCTCTGTGAGTAGTCGTAACTTTCCGCCAATAAACAATCCGTGACATCATTTTAGTCCATCTGCTCATATACTAGTCTATATTTCTATAAGCAGAAGTACTAAAGTGATGTCACGGCTTCTCTATTGGTGGAAAATGACGACTACTCACAGAGAACGGCAGAAATCCCTAACGTTGAAATTTACCTGTGACAGGTAACACTGACATTCAGGCGCGTGTTATACTTATGGAAAGGATATGTTGACATAATAACATGCCTTATTTTTAAAAAGTTAATGAAGCTTTGTACGGCGACCTTTAAAACAATTCTCTGTTTTCAACTAATTGTCCGGTTGTACGTGGCAAGCAGTAGGGTCGCCTGTCCAACCTCGTGGGTTTTCTCCGGGGCCTCCGGTTTCCTCCCACAGCTAAAGATCCCTACGCGCAAGCGAATTATTGAAATAAAATTAAACCATATGTTAGTCCCGAAATGACCTAATTTGTGTCGAGTTGGCGTTAAACCCTATTTCTCTCTCTCTCCCTAGATATGAAGGGCAAATTGTTTGAGCGGCATTTAATAATTGGATGAGAATAAAATATGGAATACAAGTTACTTAAAAGTTTATTTCTGGCAACGTTTTGACTGGGGTACTCTCATCTTTATCAAGCAAGGAATGAGAACCATAGTACAATGAAGATACAAATATGAACAGTGACATTAATGTAGAACATAAGATAATCATTTAGGAACCATCAAAGGGGGGAGAAGCCATAAGGGTTGGGTAGTAATAAAGAATGTACAACGAAAACGTGATAATGGGGACATTAGGTAAGGCAAAGAAACATCGCCAGAAATAAATCTTTCAAGTAACTTGTATTCCATATTATTGTGTCATGTGTTACAAACAAGGGCAGCTGTTGAGTCTCTGTCGTTTATAAAAAAAAAAAAAGCTTTTATATATATATTTTATATAAATCAACTTTATTCCTATCATTGGTAATATTTATTTCACAAAAATTAACTCAACTGTTAATCACATTTTAAATAAATATTGAATTCAGTGCACACTCTGTCAAATAATCACATCTACAACCCATAAAATTAACATTATAAAAGTGATCAAAATGATGGTAAACCGACCAATTTTACGTAAAATTAACATTAGTATGTTATCTGGGTGTTTCCACCTTTACTTCCAAAATGCTGAATCTGTCTGTGTACATTGTTATATTATTCAAGATGCATGATAGAGGGCCAGACTAGGGACAACGTATAGTCATTCAGATGGGACAAAAACCGAAGGTCCTGTATACACTTGGTGTGCATGTAAAAGATCCCTTGGCAGTTGGAATTCAATATAAGAGTAGGCAGTAGTGCCGCTGTCAGGGCAAAATTTCCCTCATAGCCCAATTTTAGCATATTCCCTTTACATAATCTAGTTTTTAACTATTATAGTGGGAACTACTAGCTCCTTATCTAATCTCCCATAATGTATCTTTAAACCATTATTTTGCTCTTTTACAATGGGATGAGATAAATTCATACTCTATCCCTCATGTGCCCTTATGGCATAAGACACATTTCACTCTTATCCCTCATGTGCCCTTATGACATTGGATAAGACAAATTCATACTATCCCTCATGTGCCCTTATGACATGGGATAAGACAAATTTTACACAATATTCTTCTTGAAACAACTAACATACTCTACACTCAGCCCTGTACAGTGTGTAATATAAAAATGGATATCTTCTATTTATTTGTATTTATTTTTATTTATTTACTATTTATGTATAAGCTAATGTGATATAATACCCATATATTGTGGTATTTTTAAAAATATGATTTTTATGTTTCTGTTATATAATGACATTTGTTGTGCTGATATTTAATAGGTCTTTCTGAGTAATACACAAATTCCCTTTACATTATCTAGATTATACAAACTACCAGCTCTTTATCTAATCTCCCATAATATATCTTTAATAGATCTTGCTGAGTAATACACAAATTCCCTTTACGTTATCTAGGTTTAACTATTATATTATAGGTCTTCTCCGGGTCCTCTGGTTTCCTCCAACTGCTAAAGACCCCTACATGCAAGCGATTGATTGAAATGAAATTGAACCATCTGTTAGTCCAGAAATGATGTAGTTTGTTTCGAGTGGACTTTAATTTCTCTCTCTCTCTCTCTCTTTCTCTCACCTAAATGGACCCTATGAATTGGTGATTAGTTGTAATAGGAATAAAGAACATCCAAATAAAAGAATTTCTTTAATTTTTTTTAAATTTCTGAAAGTAGATTTGAAATATTACTGGATTTCAGTTAATTTCAGTAATGTTCTATACTGACTCTGACCATGGACCTTATAAGGTCCATGCTCTGACCTAATTGTTTACCAAAGGAAATATAAACTTGATGGATTGTTTATTATTCATATTTTAGCTCTTGTTGTTAAATGTTATTTTTATTCAACAAACCTTGTAATAAATCTTTACTAAAAATATCATTTGTGTTGAATTTCTTTTTAAAATGACATAGTACCCACATAACAACATAACGTTAAATTTACGTAAAATTTAAGATCAAAGTTAACTGAGAATAGACCACAGGGTAAGTACATCAGACAACGTCATAATATCGGGAAAATCGTTCAAATTTGCTTACAAGTATCAAAATAGGTAAAAATATTCCTATGAGCTATCCCTGCCTGGAATTTGAAATGGGTCTCTGCACGACAATGGCTACTTGTTTGGCCAGGCGCCCAGCAGTTTATTGTCAGTGGTGCCGGACGGAGGCCTGGCATAAAATGGTGTCTTGGTGAAGAAAAGTAGAAAGTTATGCCCCATTTATTTTCGGAATGTGGCTTTCCATGCGACTCATTATATTATGCCGGGGTTGGGGTGGTGGATGGCCAAATGGTTAGCATGTGCGCGCTGTATCATAAGGTCTGTCATTGAGAGAACTGGCGTTGGTTCGATTCCCCGGTTGTAAGTGACAACGAGTAGGGTCGCTGGTTCAAATCTCGTGGGTTTTTTCCGGGTCCTACAGTTTTACGCCACTGCTAAAGACCCCTACGCACAAGCGAATTATTGAAAGAAAATTAAACCATGTGTTAGTCCCGAAATGACCTAGTTTGTGTCAAGTGAACGTTAAACCCCATTTCTCGATGTAAGTCCTGCCCACTTTTGTAAAAGTGATTATTTTAATTTGTAATGATTATTGGAAAATATTGGCTGAATGGTTAGCGTGCGCGTGCTGTATCATCAAGTCTGTCATTGAGTCGACTGGCGTGGTTTCAAATCCCCGGTTGTATGTGACAAGGAGTAGGGTCGCCTGTCCAACCTCGTGGGGGGTTTTCCGGGTCCTCCGGTTTCCTCCCAACGCTAAAGACCCCTACGCGCAAGCGAATTATTGAAATAAAATTAAAAACCATATGTAAGTCCCGAAATGACCTAGTTTGTGTCGAGTGGACGTTAAACCCCATCTCTCTCTCTCTTTCTCTCTCAGTCGGGGGGGGGGGGGTCACTGTGGCTAAGTGGGTAAGGCGCTGGCTCGCTAGCCTGGAGGTAGGGTGTTCGATCCCTGCATTGGCCGAGAAAGTTCATTCAGATTTCCCGGCGTGGTTCCCCCTTGTCAGTGATGCAGGATGGAGGGCCTGACAAGGACAGCTGTCTAGTCATTCGGATAATACGGAAACCGAGGTCCCGTGTACACATTGGCGTGCACGTTAAAGATCCCTTGACAGTTGGAATTCGATATAAGAGTAGGCCGTAGTGCCGCTGTCCGGGCAAAATTTCCCTCATAGCACACTGTATGGCGTATGCCCGTCTTCATTAGCCCAGTTCGGAGCAAAACAGCAGGACGTTAAACCCCATTTCATTTCAAATCACAAGGTCTGGCATCACAAGAGGATCCAGCAGCAACCTTGGGGTTTAACGTCCACTCTAAACCACTTGAATGAGAAATGTTAAATGAATAGCCTCTCATGGTATAAAAAAAAACAACGTTTCGTATTTTAATGAATATCTGCAGGCTTATGACATTTATTTTTCTCGTACCAATCACCAATATTTTCGTACACTTTTTTTTCATTAAGCCACGATCTGGCCTTGTTACATAAACCACAATGACTTAGTTTGTGCATAAACATGAAATTGTCTCCAGTTCCGAACCACCAATATATAGATTCAAAACTCTGTTTATTTTCAAGGTATTGTCTATAGGCTGTATCATTTCTATCCAAATATAGAAGAAAATTAGCCAAGTCTTTTACTGATTTAAAATCGCTTGTATCAATGTAAGTTTTTGCTGGGGCTATTTTTGAATAATTTGCCCCACCACGCGTTACGGCCACAATGTCTAGTGATTCAGCGCGAAAAAACTTTTCAGATACGTAATCTCTACACAGACTATTCTCAAAGGACAGATAGAATTTGTAAGTTTTCGCATTTGATATAAAACAGTCGTAGGACTTAGGACACGTTAGATTGCCACATCTTCCATAGAAGTCAACGGGTATGTACTTTCGTAACAATTTTATATATTTTTCACGTTGACTCGCAACACCACAATTACTGGAAAATATAGATACAAGCTTTGCCTTCTGTTTCATGATAGCCGTGATATTTTTCTTTAGGGGCTCTTTTCTTTTTCTATAAAAACCATATGGAATAAATTGATCCGAATCTACGCGATACGTAAACGTTCTGTTAAATTTATTCCGCCATGACGGCTTGAGCCATTGGTGTGAAAAGGTAATATCCGGTGATTCCATCTCGTGAAAGACCCAAACTTGATTTGGATTTCTCCTGACTGGTGGGTTTCCAGCTAATGAGTCGCCATCGAAGATTAGAATATCACTGTTGATATCCTCAGTGTATATACAAGAATCGTTACATGGGGAAAACCAATTTCTTAGTGCCTGTGAAGATACTTCAGATGGTCTATTATACCAATGTATTGTAATACCTCTGGTTTTATTAGACCTAGGTTTATTAGAACTTCTAGTGTTGAAATGCGATGACACACTTGTTAAAATATACGGGTTGCTGGGATGTTCTGGCTGTAATTGTTCTGATTTCAGGTTCCTGGAATGATCTGGCTTCAGGTTTCTGGAGTGTTCTGACTTGGGATTGTTCGAATGTTTTGACTTCACATTGTTGGCGTGTATTGAGTTGGCATCGTCCTTAGATGAATTAAGAGGCATCGTTTCTTTCAAAATTTTTACGAACACCTCATTTGCGGCCTTCGTATCGTCCTTAGATGAATTAAGATGCATCTCTCTTTTCAGAAATTTTACGAATACGTCTTTGGTGGCTTTCAGATTTGTCAGGTAAAGTATCACTGTTAAAACCGTGACCAGGAGGATGGCTAGTTTACGTTTTCGATTTTCCATCATAGTGCCTTTTGCGTAAAATCTAAACCTAAGAAAGAAGTAGAAACTAAATATATTGTATAACAGTGTACATATATAGGCTATATACAATTCATATACATACAGGCATACTGTGTACATATATACTATTCAAAAAAAGTAGGGGATATTTGATTTTTAAGTGTTATTAAAGTCACCTAATGAAACTGACGAAGAAACAAATGACAAAATGAAATGAAGTTCACATTCATCGATTTATTCCAAATGATCGTTAGACTAAGTAAGGCACAGACTGACCATTATAAGGGTAAAATGATACCCGGGGTCAAACAGCAAAGTTACCACAGCATCACAACCAAGTCAGTAACGGGTAAATCCTCCTCTGTTTGCCAAACAAGCATTGATCCGACGTGGCATACTCCTAATGAGACGTCTAAGGTCATTTTGGTCCAGATTGTCCCATTCCTGTTGCAACGCAGCAGAAAGTTCTTGGACATTGGCAGGACGTTGTTGACGTTGACGTAACCTCTGTCCAAGCATGTCCCAGACATGCTCGATGGGGGAGAGGTCGGGACTCAGTGCTGGCCAAGGTAATGTGGTGATGTTCTGTTGTTGGAGGTAACCTGTAACGATCCTGGCCCTGTGACATCTTGCGTTGTCATCCTGGAAGATGAAACGGCGGCCATGACGTCGTGCGAACGGCACAACATGGACTGCCAAGATGTTGTCCCGGTAGTACTGGCCTGTAACACGCCCTGCAACAACATGTAAAGCCGTTCTTCCAGCAACAGTGATGCCTCCCCACACCATAACAGAACCACCCCCAAATCAATCATGTCTGATGACGTTAACGTCTTGGAAGCGCTCGTTTCGACGACGACACACCCTCCTACGTCTGTCCAAAAAATCAACAGTGAACCTTGACTCATCTGAAAACATCACATTGCTCCAGCGTCGATTATCCCAGTGTTGACGATCCCTACACCAACGACGTCTTGCCTGAATGTGATGATCTCTCAAACAAGGGATCACGCGAGGACGTCGGGCGCGAAGGTGACCCCTATGCAGTCGATTCCGAATCGTCTGGCTACTCACTCTCACACCAGTGTCTGTTTGAAGACGAGCGCTGATCTGATTTACTGTGATGACACGATTTCTCAAGGCCAAGGTACGGATAAATCGATCCTGGGCTTGAGTTGTCGCCCTTGGTCGACCTGAGCGTGGTCTGTCCTGTACAGATTGTGTATCACGGTATCTGGACCATAGCCTGCTTATGACAGACTGAGAAACATTCATCGTCCGCGCCACAACCGCCTGTGTTGTGCCGATCTGTAGCATGCCAAGGGCACGTAACCTTTCATTTTGGGTAAGCCGACGCATATCAAAATTTGTTTTCTGGTCACTAAAACAATTAAACTGATGTTTCCACCCTGGAATTCAATGCCACAATGACTGTAACATTCAAAGTCAGAGTCGTGCAAATCTTGGGTTGGACCCCCATGATGATCCCAAGCATCACCTGCATTCCATGCGGTAGCTATTGGTGCGTTTGGGCGTCAAATGTAACTGGAAATGTTTCTTCTGTTAGGTTCTATAGTGACTTTTTTCGTAGTCATTTGCATATTTTAGTATTATGCCCCCAAAATCAAATATCCCCTACTTTTTTTGAATAGTATATATATATATATATATATATATATATATATATATATATCCAAAATTGTTAGCACAACCGCAAAGCTGCACTACTTTGTTTCACGGTAAATGATGAAAAGATAAAAAGGATATGCCGACACAAACTGATTTCAACACTGGTTTAATAACATTTTAACATTTTAAAGTACTTTTCGTCCGTCTTGGGACTATTCATAAATAATGTCATTGTATAAAGATGGACAGTATAGTATATTTATACATATTTACATAGTAACACTGTGGTTTTAATTGGCTATAGTTACCATTGTCTATGGTTACATAGTATATCGTTAACTAATAGAAAACATGTACACACATGTGTTAATCTGTATGGGTTCAATTTATGAACAATGAGTGGAAGATAATCATGGGATAGATTTAATAAAATTAATGAAGCTAATGGTTAATTGTTACTTATTGACTATTGGTGTCAT